GACGCCGCACCCGAACTCTCGGAGTCCTTTTTTGAGACCGAACCCTCTTCCCGTTCCCTTCCGTTTTTCGACTATTGGTTTCCTAACATGTTTCCGGTGTAGGGCAACTGAAGGAAAATCGAGACCGCGAGGAGGAACGGCAAAGCCGCCGCACCAAAAACCCCAAACCGCCAGGAAGTTTCGATTTTTGCCCTTTTTCTGCCAACAGAGGCCACTTAATCCCGAATTTCGTAGGATTTCACGCAAAACCAACCGAAACCAGCCTAACTGAGAGGAGGAACCATCGTAGGCGACGAAGCCGGCACCGAAGCACGGCAGCACCGCCATGCCGGAACCTAAACCGGCCTCAGGAGAATTTTAACCCCTTTTGACAGTTTTTTCGCGTATTTCCATGATATTTGATGCGTATTTTGGCTTTCGTAGAAAAACTCAAAAAATCCGAGAACCGATAACCATCAAGAAGTGTAGTGAAAATGGTAATATTCCGAACACCGACCTGGAGTAAAAATCTCTCACCATTTCTCTTGTTACAGTTAAGTTAAAGTTTAATAAATAATAAACGAAAAATTTTAAATGTTGGCGATCCTTTGACTAATTAAATACAGGTCACTAATGGAGCCGGTAACCAATCAGCGCATATTTGTCCCTAGTTTATCTATGTCGTCTATTTATTGTTGTACTGCTTTAATTGCTCACTGTTACATCATGTACTTTAATTTATTAATTTTAATTGTGTCTGTTTATTAGTTTGTTTAACCGTTTTCATCTCTATCTGTTGATTTGATTTGAAATAAATGTTTTAATTACGTTTCTTAAATTATTGAGTATTAGCTTATATTGCCTATTAAAGAATCATCCTATTGTCCTGTAACGGGGACATGCAATGTGTAAGGTAATGTCATTAAACTAAAGGAGTTTACTGGGTGTCATAGGAAAAGGTGTACGAACCTAATACATAGGGTAAACTCTACTATGGACGTTACCCTCAATCAAACGGAACTGAAAAGTCTAATACCGGAAGGGCTTGAGAATTGTTTTGATTACACTCATACCGAACAAGGTATCAAGGCGGTTGTATGTTTGGCGTTTATTACCGGACAAGATATGGGGACGACCGATTAATTAATAGGATGAATACTTGGTCCACGTGTAGCGGGAACCCCTATGAATCCCCAGCGGCACCGGTAAGTAAGTAAAAAGATAAAGTTTGATTACTGTGGGTCTTTCAGAATGTATAGTATGTATTGTTATCCTGGTTCTTTATTTCATAAATGGTATTTGGAAACTTAAAGGTAAGTAAAAAATAAATGTTTTCAAGTTAAATGAATTTATTTAACTCAAAAAATAAGCTCCATTGGTTGTTTACGATTTCTACTAACCTTTAATTTTTCCGTAGCGGTAGTAAAGTGCTGACATTCTTACTGAACTAATGCAGTTCACCCCCTTATTATTAACCATTTCATATCAGCGCGACAAATATTCGGATCCTAAATAGTAAGAAAGTTAAGAAAAATGTTATCTCCCATTTTTTCCCGTTACGCAACGGAGGTCGATCGCATAGGTTTTTAGTTGCACTTTTTTATCTTTTATATTTTTCAATGAAAATTCTCGTATTTCTATTTGGCAATTAAAATAAACTGTGTAAGGAATGTAAACTCTAAATTCTGAATTGTTCATGCAAACTTATAAATTTCAATATTATTATTTAGTATGAATGTTTGGGTCTTTACGGTTGGTATCAGAGCCGCGTTATTCGGAACCGTTCCTTGCACATAGAGTTAGAATAATTCAATACAACCCAAATATCAAAATTTGTTGTGAAATGTAGGTATAAAGACATGAGGAAAGGAAAAACTCTACTAAATAGGACAGCTCGGGAGGGATCGCTTTGAGAGGATGTCGATCGGCTCTTCGAGATGCTAGAGAGACTCATCTCTGTCCAACAGGCCAAGGAGGAGAGGAGGGAGTTGTCTGATTCCCCTCCACCATTGCTACAGTATGAGTCACCTCCACACTGAGAGGATCCAGTGTCACCACGGTACAACCCTGCTCTCCCACTGTATCATTCGGCACCGCCACAGTACAATCCAACGCCCCCACCATACAACCAGGTCCCACATAAAGTCACCCGGTCCATCTCGGCATAATTCAGTTCCCTCAGCAGACCCAGCTCCACCCGTGATGGAC